TTGGATGAAGGCCTTACCGTCATACATATCCGGCACCAGGCGGTCCCCTAGCATCTTTTGCATCTCCGAGGGCTTTATCGAGAAGTGGATGCTGACCAGTGGCGTCTCTGTCTCGCGCACAGTCACGCGAGAAGAAAGTGCCTCTGAGCTGGAACTCCGTGCCACGCTGCCCTCAGACATGTCTACTGTGCGGACCCCATCGATGACCACCAGATGCTGCAGAAGCAAGGCGAAGACAACCGACAGTTTGATGCGCAACGACATGGAAACGATGGATTAGTGATTCGTAGACGCTGCGTCGAATTGCACAAGGCTTGAACCCAATCAGCTTGGAAAGACACCGTAGTTTGGTTCTGGAGCCTCGCGCCTTATAAGTTCGATGAAATTTCACATCAGATACGATTTCGTCGCTAAACACTACGATTCTTGATGCTGGCTGTTCCGTAAGCTTGGCTAAAATAGGCGTGGAAGGTCGGTCGCAGGCTACTCGCACCGCTTCTTTTCTACCCGGTCACCCCGCGTGTCGCCCGAGCTCCGACGAGGCCGCGCTCCTGCGGCTCCTGGAAAAAGGCGCTTCGACCAGTCTCTCGCTCAAGAATCTGACATATATCTTGAATGAAAGTTGAATTATATTGAATCATAAGGAACAAGCCAGACTGGTATCGGAAATCGCTTTAGACCCCAAACCTTACACCTGGCATCCGAACATGTGACCTAACTACCGAGGTTTGTGGCCTCTTCGTATCGACAAGGCCCTGGGGGGAAGCCCGGCTGCAGCCACAGGGCCTGCTGTAGTTCGGACTGCTGTTGCACGCTGCTTACGGTTTAGGGGTTTATAGGGTTTATAGGGGTTTAGGGGTTTAGGGTTGGTTAGAGCTCGCTGAGACTGAAACACCAAAGCCAAATCGTCTCCCGAGGAGTGAACAAAAACCCTGGAAGCCCCATACACCTGAACTAACGCGCCCCCCCCCCCTTGCAGAGCCCCTAAACCCTAAACTGTCACCCAAGGAGTCTTCAACCCTAAACCCTATAAGCCTGAACCAAACCCCCCAAAGCCGCAAGGATTTCGAAGAACTCCTCGCCCCCGCAGCCCTCCGACGAGACGGCGCCTGGCACGATTTCAGCCCTCGTAGCCCTGACCCTGTCTCTGGGGCTCCTTCGCTGGGTTTAGGGTTTGGGGATTACGGATTAGGGTTTCGGGTTGGGGGTTTAGGGGCTTTGAGTTTGGGATTTGGGGTTTCGGGTTTGGGGTTTAGGGGTTTGGAGCTTGGGATTTTGGGTTTGGGGTTTGGGGTTTAGGGGTTTTGAGTCTGGGATTTTGGGCTTCGGGTTTGGGGTTTAGGGGTTTTGAGTCTTGGCTTTAGGGGTTCGGGGTTTGGGGCCTTATAAGGCTTAGGGACTTCGGCGATGGGAGTAGCCCGGGAGTGGGGTAGAGCATCGACTTCCTCCGGAGCATCGACTTGCAGCAGAGCAAGTTCAGATTTCGTGAGCTCCTGGTGTCTTCCTTAAGCACTACGGATCATATACTATAATCTACGATAGCACACAGTAATACAAACATACTATATGATATACCGTCTGATCCAGGACATCGTCGCTTCTGACAGACACGGGATTCAGTGCTTAAGCTTATCAAAACAACCCTTGAGAGGCCCGCATCCGAGTTAAACGCAGAGCAACTCGCCCATACCCCGCCCTACAAGTAGTGTCCAGACCCTTGGCAATCCGACTGCAGAGTTGAAAATTGAAATGCTTCTGAATCCCTCAAAGAAAGGGCCCTTAAACCCTGTAACCTACACCCTAAACCCCAAACCCGAAACCCTAAACCCCTAAAGCCTTATAAACCCTAACCCCCAAAGCCTTATAAACCCTAAACCCCTAAAGAACTAAACCCAAACATGCCGGCACTTGGGGGCCCGGCCCTGCGGGCTCCAAGTGGCCATGGGAAGCCAAAGTGGAAGGCCCTTTTGAAGGCCTCGAAGGGCTCCGTTCAGGTTTTAGGGGCAGCGGGACGCTTTCCAGGCTCCCAGGAAAAGCTTTACAGTTGGGTTTAGCTATTTAGGGTTTATAATAGGGGTTTGGTTTAGGGGCTCAGGGTCTGTACCGCAGGGTTTCGGGTTTAGGACAGCTTAGGGTTTGGGGCTTCAGGTTCACACACCCCATGCTGGACACATTCGTTGGAGATGTACCGCGCATTCTCTCACGGCTTGCGATGCGTCCGCGGGCTCCTCCCGAGAGAAAGGCCCCATGGTAGCCACGGGTAAAAGCTCTTCGGGGGTGAAACAAAAAGGTGGCTGCTGTGAGGATCCGAAGGCTGGGCTCTGAGCTGAGGGGGTACGCTGAGGGTAGAATCAAGGGTTCCTTTAAGGCTTCAGGGTTTAGGGTTGAGGTGCTCTGCTCACGCTGTCTGACGCACGTTTTCTGACACAGACCAGCAGCCACGCAGGCGGAGATAAAGCTGCCCCTTGGCAAATTTCCGTGCAGGAACTCCTCGCAGAAAACTTTCGAAAAGCATGAATTTCAGCCACTGGTGTCAACCCTCCCGCTGGCCCCGCAATCGGCTCAGATAAGTCTCAGGGATGCCTTCCGAGTTCCTCAAAACCGCCCACACGCCCTCCCCAAGCGCCGCCCAAGCCGACTCCGGGATCTTCTCGCACAAGAAGAAGTCGACGTCCTGAGAGCAGGAAGCCCGGGCCCCGGAGCCCCTGCAGAAGACTCTCCCGTGAAGCACTCCGCGTGAAGCACTCCGTGCACTATCCTGCACTTCCAGAACCCCACAAGCTCAAGTTCCCCCCCCCACATTCCTCCAGCTCCCGGCAGCGGCCCAAGGCGCCCAGCAGCTCGGCAGCTCCCTCTCCGTCCCTGTTGAAACACCTGGGCCCCGGGGCACGGAGGCCAGAGGAGATGAGGCCCGCAGCAGACAAAAAAACGAAAAGGCAAAGAACACCTGCGAGCTTGGCCCCCTTTCCGAGGCGCGAAGTGAAGTTGGCCTTCTGCAATGCTTGCCACTCGGCCTTGCCGAGCAGCCGCCACGCCGCCGCCGGGACTTTTACGCAATGGAGCATGTTGAGCTCCTGGCGCTTCGCGGTGCTTATTGGGGGGGGGGAGGGGGGGAGGGGTCGCAGAAGGGCAGGGCAGGATTCTGGCGGAGGGCGGAGGCTGTCGGGCTGGGGAAGCTCAGGAGGCTGTTTGCGGTTTCCGGAGCCTTTTTGTGGGCGTGATTCAGTCATGCGGAGACCTTGGATCTAACTCTCGCCGGAGGTGGGTCTGGCAGTGGAGATCAGGGTCACAGAATCTGCAAGCCCTCGAGTTTTGCAACTGCAGTAGAACCTTCCCCAAGATGGATGCGCCCATGCTTTAGGCCGCATCACCCCAAGCAGCAAAACGAGAGCTGCCGACGGCCCTTTCGCAGCGGTGTGAGATCCTATCCGTCCTATCCTGTGGGCCGCCGGAGCCTAAACAGCGATCTTTGCTTTGGCCTTCAAGATTACCAGGGACTCATCAGCTGAAGGGCAAGAAAACACCCCTTCACCTGCAAGCTGAGATGAGAGACGACACTGCGAGGCGAGCTGACGTCAGGCAAGGCCAAATATCGCGCAAGACGGAAGGCCTTCCCGCGTACTGCAGTCTCCACTTTGGCAACTTCACCCGGGCAACCATTCGTTTTCTGGAAAAAAAGGCTGCGGACTATCTGCTTTCAGGAAAACGTCAACCCCTTTTGACCCGTCCTCGAGCTCCTGGCAGCGGCCCAAAGCGCCCAGCAGCTCGGCAGCTCCCTCGCCCTGCTCACTGAAACACCTGGGCCCCGGGGCACGGAGGGCGGAGGAGATGAGGCCCGCAGCAGAAAAAAAAACGAAGAGGCAAAGAGCACCTGCGAGCTTGGCCCCCCTTCCGAGGCGCAGTGCGAAGTTGGCCTTCTTCAAGGCCGGCCACTCGGCCTTGCCGAGCAGCCGCCAGGCCGCCGCCGGGACTTTATTGCAGAAGTGCATTTTGAGCTCCTGGCGCTTCGCGGTGCTGATTGGGGGGCTGTGCCTCTCGGGAGAGGGGGGGAAGGGGTCGCAGAAGGGCAGGGCAGGATTCTGGCGGAAGGGGGTTCAGGCGGCGGCTTTCGGGCTGGGGAAGCTCAGGAGCCCGCTTTGCAGCTTTCGGGGCCTTTTGTGGGCAAACAAACCCTTCCGTTCAGTGATTCAGTGATGCGGAGGAGCACCGCATGCAACAGCGGACCCAACCTTGGACCTAACTCTTGGCGGAGGTGGGTCTGGCAGTGTAGCTCAGGGTCACAGACTCTGCAAGCCCTCATGTTTGCGCCCATGCTTCGAGTCCCTAGCCCCTTCCTGTTAGGCCCGCTCACAACAGAAGGATCCGCTCCGTCCTATCCTCTGTGCCCCCGGAGCTTAGCAAAGGATCCAACAGCATTCTGGCCCTTCAAGATTTATTTCCAGGGATTCATCAGCTTGAGGGCACAGACAGCCCAACGAGCAGAGATGCCACTGCTGGGCGAGCTGAACTTTTCCTAGGAGGGCTCAGACAGGCGCAACGAGTTCCTGAAGGAAGGCCTCTGCCAAGTGAGTGAAGCCATCTACGCTACTACTATGCACTATATAACATTACAACCATCTTATGACTTTATCGTATCATTCTTCTGAGACTATAATATAGCCCTGTACTCCTGGTCCTGTACTGTGCTACCATACCAGACCAGATCATACCACACCAGACCATGGAATACATGCCAGCGTGTGCACTGACAGTATACTCTGGAAGATCACTCGCTGCAGGAAGATTACAAGGCCAGAAGCAGAGGTGTACTACAAGGAACGGCTCAGATCCGCTCCGCTTCCCGTCACAGCCCGTAGCCGGAGCCACACAAAAAATGGAAGGCGTTCCGGCTGACTAGTGTTTACGCTTCGGCGACTTCGCGCGTTTTCTGAAAAGTCCTCGAGCTTCCGGCAGCGACACAAGGCGCCCAGCAGCTCGGCAGCTCCCTCGCCGTTCCTCTCGAAACACCTGGGCCCCGGGCAGGGAGGGGAGAGGAGATGAGGCCCGCAGCAAAAAAAAAACGAAAAAGGCAAAGAGCAGCTGCGAGCTTGGCCCCCTTCCGAGGCGCTCTGCGAACTCGGCCTTCTTCAGTGCCGGCCACTCGGCTTTGCCGAGCAGCCGCCAGGCCGCCGCCGGGACTCTTTTGCAACTGCGCATGTTGAGCTCCTGGCGGTTCGCGGTGTTTGGAGGGGCCGGGATGCTTTTTCGGAGGTCTCAGCGGGTGCCTTCGGAGGCGTTCGGGGGGCGCTGTGCCGGTGTCCTCGAGCTCGCGACTCTGGGCCAAAGCCTCGAAGAGCTCGAGGTCGCCCTGCAGCGCTGCGTCTGCATATGGGATGAGGACCGTTGTCGCCATCTTCGGGTAGATGGACAACTGGCTGCAGGCGACCACCTCTTCGTTTCCTGCTCTGGCAAGGTAGAACAATTAACGTTTTGCTCTCATGGCAGAGCGACATTGCAAAAAGCTGGCCCAGAGGAGGGCGTTGTGTTGAAGCCTGTCTCTCAAGATCTCGTTTCGCGCGCGCTGGAATGCGTAGAGCTACAAGAGGGAAGAGCAAAGCGTCCGCTATCATGCCTTCGCTCTCCGATCTGCAGAATTGTGAAGAGTGCCTTGAACTCTTAGCTGTCTTGGCTGTTTGCGGTGCTTTGCCTAAGCGCTGGAACTCAACAGGCTAAGCCACGGTATCAGCAAGGGACGTTTCTCGAGAAAGCCTTTGGCCTGCCTGACGCTCGTACAGAGCACGTCGTCGCTCAACCAAACAGCAACAGAGCGCAGGATGACGGTCCTGCGGTCACCAGACCCCCCTGCAATCGGCTCAGATGTGTTTCAGGGATGCCGTTCTCGTTCCTCAGGTGCGGCCACACGCCCTCCCCAAGCGCCGCCCAAGCCGACTCCGGGATCTCGCAAGCGCGGAAGTCGATGCCCTGAGAGCAGGAAGCCCGGGCCCCGGAGCCCCTGCAAAGACTCTCCCGTGAAGCACTCCCGTGAAGCACTCCGTGCAATATCCTGCACTTCCAGACCCCCCAAGCTCAAGCTCGCCCCCCCCGGCGTCCTCGAGCTCCCGGCAGCGGCC